AGAACTAAATGCTCTTCACATTAATTCCGTCCACTAGCGGTCCTACGTCAAGCTTCCGTTCGTGCCCCTAGGCACAAACCCTTCTACTTTTTTAATTTGTTTTTGCAAATCCCGCCAGATAATTTTCATGGAAGGATTGCATGTTCTTTGATGTTGCCTCCTACGGACATTTTTCAGACGGATCAAGAGCTGAAGATCATCGTCTGTTATAATTGAATCGAATTTAACCTCGCATTTCGGTACTGAGGCAGCTCTTGCTTCAACTATAGAAGTAGTCAGATAATCAAGAGCATAATTAACATCATCTTTGGTTTGCAAAGGAATGTTTGGATCAAAGCTATATTCCATAAATGATCGATATTGCTCCCATGGTAATTGCAAGCTGTTGAGAGTAGACAATATTTTATGGGTTATTTAGGAATTTTTCTGTGTCATGGACATTTACCACTGTAACCAAGGCTTTGATCTATTGTGGTGTATCCTCTATTTGCTGTTTGCCTATTAGTAGAGTGATCTTCACCATTGATTATCGGCTTCATCCCAACACGGAATTGCACTTCGAATGATGTTTACTACTTTATTGGGCATACTAGTCCAGATTTCTCCTGGTACAGTGAGTCCTATATCGAGATATCTGCATCGTTTATTGAATAGTGCAACGCAATCACACCCTAAATGTTCAGAGCTTTCACTCTCCAAATTACACAAGCGACATCTATCATCACTAACCATTCCAATATTTTTTTAAATGGTGTTTACCAGGACAATGTCCTGTTATTAACCCAGTGTAGGTGCTTAAATCTTTTTTGTAAAGATTAAGTAACCTTTGCGTATGCAAAGCGTTGGACTCAATGAATCGTTTAGATTGCCGGGCTGCTGAGTTGTTAACCTAACTGGATTTTACCTTGATTTTTACCCAGTTCTTAAATTCCATTTTCAGATTAGAAAGCGATAGACCAATTAATGGTTCTGGATGAATACACTGCTGGGATGAGCCAAGCTTTGCTAAGTGGTCAGTTTTTTTTTTTTCATTTCCTTCGATGCCGCAATGACCAGGAACCCAATATAGATTTACCTTGTTACGACAGGATAATTTCTGAAGCTGATTATAGCATTCCCACACTAACTTTGAAGTGTAGATCATCGATTTAAGGGCATTCAATGCTGCTTGACTATCCGAAAAAATGCATATATTTGAATTCCTATTATTCCTTTTTAAGTAAATTTCTATCATTCTAGAATCGCAAATAACTCTGCTTGGAATACTGTTGGCCATTCACTATTGCTACAAAACAGTTGATTCCAGGACCTGTTCAGGGCTCACAAATGTCATTTTCAATGAAAGATCTCACGCGATATTTACAGAGATACTTCTGTCACTATCATTGGATGAGAAAACGATGATAGAGATTTTCTTCAAAATCTCATCGAATTTTCTGTCATCGCATAACGTGACAGTGTTGTGATCATTGTAATTACTAGCTCATTTAATGCTATTAAAGTTACTTGTACCAAGGAAATCTTAATAATATATTCACTCTACCGATTACATACTGTTGTTTGCTTAAATTCATTTAAATCAGTTAGAAATGAAAAGTGACAAGAAAGCTAATGATAGGTAGTTTCGTCTCGTGATAGTGAGAGGACCTGTTTTCTCATCGTCACATGACGGCCGTGATATTTACCAGCTCTGGACATGTTATTCCAGCTCCTACCCTATTATTCTGTTTTGTGCTATCTGTGTACAATGTTATGGACCCAGGACGAATCAACGGCCCTCCTAGTCGGCGCGTGTTGTATTAAATACATTAAATAATTGAATATCAGTGTGTTTGTCATAAAATCTCCATTCTATAATATTGGCAAACTGAATTGAATCTCTTTCAAAATACTCATATGATTTTTAAGATCATATGATTTTCCAGACAGACAGACAGACAGACAGACAGACAGACAGACAGACAGACAGACAGACAGACAGACAGACAGACAGACAGACAGACAGACAGACAGACAGACAGACAGACAGACAGACAGACAGACAGACAGACAGACAGACAGACAGACAGACAGACAGACAGACAGACAGACAGACAGACAGACAGACAGACAGACAGACAGACAGACAGACAGACAGACAGACAGACAGACAGACAGACAGACAGACAGACAGACAGACAGACAGACAGACAGACAGACAGACAGACAGACAGACAGACAGACAGACAGACAGACAGACAGACAGACAGACAGACAGACAGACAGACAGACAGACAGACAGACAGACAGACAGACAGACAGACAGACAGACAGACAGACAGACAGACAGACAGACAGACAGACAGACAGACAGACAGACAGACAGACAGACAGACAGACAGACAGACAGACAGACAGACAGACAGACAGACAGACAGACAGACAGACAGACAGACAGACAGACAGACAGACAGACAGACAGACAGACAGACAGACAGACAGACAGACAGACAGACAGACAGACAGACAGACAGACAGACAGACAGACAGACAGACAGACAGACAGACAGACAGACAGACAGACAGACAGACAGACAGACAGACAGACAGACAGACAGACAGACAGACAGACAGACAGACAGACAGACAGACAGACAGACAGACAGACAGACAGACAGACAGACAGACAGACAGACAGACAGACAGACAGACAGACAGACAGACAGACAAAACACACAAAAATACCCAGAAATACCCAGAATCGACAAAATGGCTTTAAGGGGAAATAGGACGTCATTAGTTTTTGGAAATTCAGAAGCAGTTTTTGTGTTCAAAACCAAAACACTGTCACTGTGTACCGTAGACAAGTAGAATGCAAGAAACACATTTTCATGAACGTCTTTGGTTTTGAACGAAACACTACTTTTGAGTTTTTGGAAAATTATAACGTCTACTTTTACCTTAAGAACGTCAAAATTACCTTAAAAGCTTAAAAATGGCCTCATATACGGGAAAATAGAGGGTTAAAGACGCATCAAAATGGCTCCCAACACGAAAAAAAAAAATGACGCAAATTCGATAAAGTAGCCATAAACATTCATCGCTGAATATTTAAAAAGGTCCTAGCTTCATTGATCGATTCTCTTCATCGAGTAATTTGTTAATAACTCAGCTGCAAAATACTCCATGCTCTGATTAACAGTATGGGCACTAGATATGAATCCCTTTTATCTTATTATGTGCCAAAAGTAGCAGAAAATATGTTTGCATAGTAGTGGTTCTAAAAAGAGAAAGTCGATAAAAAAATATATCATTGCAGATAGGAAGCATTGCAAAGGAAAAGCATCTTCTGATTTCCTTTAAAAAAATCTTCAAACAGCCCCCGGAAGTTTTTAAAAATCCTCTGGAAAATGATTTCAACTTAGATTGAATGTTTTTTTTTTACGTAGGATTCCGTCTTTCGGCAACGTATTGGGGATGCAATTTCAAGAAACCAAAATCGACCACGTTACGAAAAGTGGTCAGGTTTTTACGACTTATAACTCTGTCAATAGCGGATGGATTGTAATTCTAAACGAGCCAATCGATTCGAAATGTTTCTACAAATCTGTTTAAATGAACACTTATTTTTCAATAGGTCACTATTGAAATTTACATTGGTGTTTGCTTTGGTGATCAAATTTATCACCGATTGCCTGCAAAAAGCGCTTTCCCTAACACAGTCAGCGAATATTGATATCGAGTACGTATTCTTACGCCAAATCTACGGTCGTGTCTTGGATACAACCTTTTATTTTTTTTTCTCTGTATTCCCTTGAACGTGTCTTAAGTATACATCCGGAATTTTGATTTGACTTTTTTTGTGATTTCCTCCGCAACTTTGCTCCATCGTTCCGCGGAAGCCTATTTCAGTTTTATTAGGATTTTTGTTTTGACTTCCTCTGGAAGGTTCACCTGACCCTTTAATTTTCTATTTACATCCACCGGAAGTTTCCTGCAACTTCTTCTGGAAGCTTATTCCGGTTTTCCCCAGAAGTGCTTTAGGCTCCCTCCTGTAGACATCAGGTTTTTCCAGACTTGTTCTGGAAGTTTCTTTTGACTGACACTGAACAATTCTTATGATTTGCCCCGGAAAGCAACTTCCGAGCTCGCTCAGAAGTCCTACTGGCTTGTCCCGGAAGTATCTATAGACTGTCTCTGGTAGATTACCATAATGAATCCAAATCCAGACACTTAGTCCACAAATCCGAACATTTTTAAAAGTTGAATAATTCTGCCTAATGTGCTCAAAATAGCACGTAAATTTTTGAAAAGTCTTTAAGTATCGATCTGAATCATCACACATATTTATGATGTTGCAAAGTAGACGTCATATTTAAGGATTAATCAAATGTCCAGATTAACGAACCGTCTGGTATTCGATGCATTACGGTTTTGTAGGTTCTTTTCAACCGCTCCAAAAAGTTTCCAGAATCCCCGGAATTTTAAGATGTCGGTTGAACTCGTGTCTTTGGCGTAAGAGGTATGGCTACTATCTACTATACCGGGGCCGTCCCCAAGAATTCAACTTGTTATCCATGAATTGATTCAGTCTATCATTGCAACATATTTTTAAGGTTCGTTTCTACCGAGCACGACGTTTCTGGAGACATCTGCAAAATATGCATACTTAAATAAAGCATCCAGCCAGCTACAACCCTGAAGCTCACCCCCATTAAATGTGCATAACGCCGTGCAGAGTAGCATGATTACGTTTTTGTTTTTGTCGGAGAGTCTTCACGCACGGCAGCTGAGAGATGCGCGTTTTTCGCGTGCTGGAGAGACAAAACTCGAAAAGCTCAAAAAGCGGCTGTCCACAACAAACAGAGAAGAAGGTCTTAACCAGTGCACTGGTTGGTGGCTGGTCGATTCCACGCCGGGCCCGCGAGAAACCCAGAGAATGAGGGAGAGCTCACAGCCACGGAAAAAAGCTACCACTGCTGCTCACCGGACTCACGATCGCTCCCCCACGGTTAGTTGAGCTTTGACAGTCAATCATTAACGATCTCTCGAAAGCATGCGTAAGCGGTTCGGCACGTAGCGGCTAAATAACGGAAAAACATTGCGCGCGGATTATTCAAAATTGTGTTCAAAGTGTTTGGTTCGGTGGCTACTACGGCTTGTGCCCTCTTTAGGATTTAGTGATCGTTGTTATCCTCTGCAAAATCAGAATGTTCCAATCGTGGCAGTTCCGAATCATCAGCATATTCCTGATCCTGCAGCTGTGTGGATTATTCCCAACGACGGGCAGTGCAACACCAAAGGCGCTTAGCAGTACCAGCAACCACGGTGAATATCCTTGTCATTCCAACCTATCTGGGTGCTGGAGGTGATCAACGATCGCGCTTCATTTGAACTAGTTTGACTACGACAGTGTGACCCAAATCCTGCCGCATTCATGCTCGCGCAATTCGTGTCGCCCCGAGCAAGGCAAGCATTGTTACACAGCATCTGTGTGTGACATTGATGAGGACGCGAGACTCTCCACGGACTCCCCTCGAATTCCTCCCACCGTTGAGGTCGCCGTTTGTTGTTTGCGCTGGGACCACTTATTAGCATCGTCGTCGTCGTCGTCACCGTCATCATCGTCGTTACGTAAAAGTGATCAAAACCTGTCGGTCGATGTGTGAGATAATCGGGCAGTCGGCAGAGTAAATATTGAACTAGGTTGATCGAAATTCAAATGGGGACAGGAAAGACGTTGGCCAAATTATATCGAGCGCCTGCGTTCGAGATCAGTGCAGCGAGTGATGGTGGAGGTATTTTGTGAATTTGAAATGAATTTTAATTTATGAAGATCCCTTGTATTCGAGCTTGAGCTCAGTGAAGGCATTTGTGAAGGAAGACGATCAATAGGCAGAGAGCAAAGAAACGATCGACTAAGCGCTTTAAAGGTACCTGTTGCATGCTAGTGGTTTGAACGGGTATCGTAAAGTGGATTTGTGACGTTGATTTTTATTAAATTTTGTTTTAATATTATAAAACAATAATTTGGAAATCCAGTGGCAGTGACACGCATTGAACGTTGCGCCCCGCAGGTGACATGCGTTTTTCCCCTGCCATTCCATTAGCTGAGTGGAAAATAACATCCTCTGAGTTAGACATCAGGGCATAATTCATACTGTTTAGATATGAGCTTTCGTGTCAAAGCTTATCCCCTCCCAGATTCCAACGAAATTGTGAATAGATTTTGTCTACTAAGCAATTGTGCATACCTGTTTTCTTTGAAAAAATATTCTCAAATGGTAGTGAAAAAGGTTGCATTTTTTTCAATAAAAAAATTAGTCTTAATAGTGACAAGACCTACACAAATTTGATTCTACACTGAATTGTAGAAAATTGTTAGAAGTTTTTTATAACAATATGGGGCGATTCAAATATAACGTCCACTCTTAAGGAGAGGGAAGGGGTCCTAGAATTTGTAACAGTACGTGTTTAATGTACGGAAAAAAATATGACTCAGGGGGAAGAGATATGGTAAAAAATCGAAAGCTTGTAGACATGCTTGGCATACACATTTTTGGTCGTGAGCTGCTCATTTGCTAATAACTTTGCACACAGTAGACGAAACATTGTTCTTTTTGAAACAGTCAATAGAATAGAGTTTAACCTTGTTATAGATACGTAAAAATAGTAGGTTTTAGTTCTAGTAATCCGCTGTATTTGTTTTCGCGTTGCCAAAATGAAGTGAGAAATGCTCGCTACACATCTCGTACTTTTAGTTTAAAAATTCAATGGCGTTGATTCAAAAGTTATGATTTAACTACTCTTTGCATGTCTGTAGTAAACTATGGTCCTTCTCTATCAATTACTTCAAAGAAAACCTAATTTCAACAACTGAGTGAAAAGCTATTAACAAATGAGCAGTTGGTATGTAAAACTGTGTATGCCAAGCATGCTTGTAGATGTCATATTTGTACGCACTGGAAAAAAAATTTAAACATAAAAATTGATTTTTCTAGTAAACCTATTTTTTTTAATGATGTAATTTTAACAATTATTATAAAGTAGGATATACACAGCAGGTGGTGAAAGTAGCATATGGCACACACAAAAATCATAAGGGGTGGAAAAATTGCTAAATAGAAATTTATTACTGGCAACCATAACAAATTTCTGTTCGCAAATCGTTTGATCAATAATGTCAATAATACAGGAATGTTCAGGTACAGGTTGATTATCGCTCTGTCACTAAGAAGCTACATGATACCGGAGCACAGGCTTAATAAAATTCGTCTAGCTCACATGAGGTTAGGTACATGAGTAACTACACGGAAAATAATTCTGAATTTTAATGCTGATGTAGGTTGGTTGGTTGGTTGTCTATATTAACCCTCCGTTACTCGCGTTGTTGTACTTTGTACAACACACATGAGTTTTCCAATGCCATTTTGTTGCTGAGTTACCAATCGATCTGAGACCAACGAGTATTTTTCAAAAAACTTGTTTTGATCTAAGCAAGCTAAACTTTGATTAAAGTTAACACCTAAAAAATGCGGATAATAGGGAAAAATGTAAATGGAAACCGCGGAAACTGTGACCATACTACGTGGGATTTGACTTAATTGATTACAACATGGAATATATCGAGATCCTGACCAGATAGAAAGTTACTGTCTCCGACAAAGTTGTTCAGGAGATCATAGCCTTGTCGCTGGTGGACAGTAGTTCAGAATTTTCTCACTACGTAGCGCTAGCATACATGTGAAATTCTTGCATGTGATATATCTCGAGATCCTGATCAGATAGAAAGTTACTGTCTACGACAAAGTTGTTCAGGAGGTCAAGGTCTTTTGGCTAGTGGACAGTTGTTCAGAATTTTCTCACTTCATGGTGCTAGTAAGCATGTGAAATTCTCGCATATAAAATATCTCACGTTCTTGACCAAATAGAAAATTACTGTCGCCGGCTAAGTTGTTCAGCATATCACAAAAATTTTGCTCGTGGACAGTTGTTCAAAATTTTCTCACTTCGTAGTGCAAGTGAAATGTGAAATTCTCCTTGAACAACTTTGTTGTAGACAGTAACTTTCTATCTGATTAGAATCTCTAGATATGGCATATGCGAGAAGTGTACATCTATACTAACGCCACGTGGTGAGAAAATTCTTAGCTACTGTTTACAAGCCAAAAAGGCTTTGACCTCCTGAACAACTTTGTCGAAGACAGTAACTTTCTATCTGGTCAGGATTTCGAAACAAACCACATGCGAGAATTTCACTGTATTCTAGCGCTAGATAGTGAGAAAATTTTGAACTACTGTCCACTAGCGAAATCTATTTGATCAGAATCTCGAGGTATTTTACGTGCGAGAATTTTGCGTGTATATTAATGCCACGTAGTGTGAAAATTCTGAACCACCAAGCAATGTGCTTTGACCTCATGAACAACTTTTTCGAAGACAGTAATTTTCTACCTGTTCAGAATCTCGAGCTTAGCATACGCGAGAATTGTACACATTTACTAGCGCCATGTGGTGACACATTTCTAGGCTACTGTCCACCAGCCAAAAAGTCTTGACCCCCTAAATAAGTTTGCCGAAGACAGTAACTTTTTATATGGTAAGGATCTAGAGATATTTTATATGTGCGAGAATTTTACATGTATACTAGCGCCGCGAAGTGAGAAAACTCTGAACTTGACCTTCTGAACAACTTTGTCGACGACAGTAACTTTCAATCTGGTCATGATCTCGAGATATATCCCATGCGATAATTTCACATGTATTCTAGTGCTACGTAGTGAGAAAATTCTAAACTACTCTCCACCAGCGAAAAGATTATGATCTGTAGAACAACTTTGCCCAAGAAAGTAACTTTCTATCTGGTCAGGATCTCGAGATTTTACATGTTGTAACCAATTAAGTTAAATCCCACGAAGTACAGACACCGTTTAAGCGGTTTCCATTCACATTTTCCCTATTATCCGCATTTTTTTCGGGTTAACTGTGATAAAAGTTTAGCTTGTTTAGTTAAAAACAAGTTTTTTAATGAATACTCGTTGGTTTCATATCGATTGGTAGCTCGGCTGCACAATGGCAATGGAAAACTCACACTGTTGTACAAAGTAAAACGCGCGAGTACTCGTGTTGCAAAAGTTGGCGCGAGGAACGGAGGGTTAAAGAGATTTTCAGCCAGACGCTGGTTCATCTCCGGGATAATGCTGATGTAAACATGCATGCATATAAACTTTCTTCACATGTAAACCAGCAACTTGTTAAAAATTTTGCTTGCGTAGATGGAATGTTGCACAGGATATTTGGAATATTTCATGAAATGTCTCATAAATTTACACGATCTATAATGTAAACTTGTATGACGCTTAATTAACATAGTAACGCATTGTAACATAAGTTTACACTACTTTTGACGTTGGATAACGTCTTTCGTCAACATACGGGGGTACAAAATTGAAAACAGTCATTTTGGATGCGTTACGAAAAATTAAAAGATTTTGAACGATAATAACTAAACCGTCTCTCGATAGATTTACGAGATAATGGCATCAATCGATTGGAAATATTTCTAGCAATTTGCTGAATGTTTCAAAACTATTGATTTCATTCTGTAAACTTTTGAAAAATGGTTAAAAGTAAACCATTGTCTATTGGTGAAAATCGATTGATTTTTTTATATTCTTATACTTTCTCCAACCGAGACATCAGATGCGAGTATCTGACACCTCTGATATTTTCTGTTCTACTATATAAGCGTCCAACAAGGTCGCCCGTTCCATCATTGTCTCTCCGATCGTCGACCCAGCAGCAGAGCAGCAGAGCAGCAGTACCAGAACAGCGGAAGCAGAGCAACGGCAGCAGAGCCTGGGGGCGAAAGGGCAACTACGCCGAGTGCGTTGGTGCCAGTGCTCCGGTATACTGGGCCGCCGTCATGGAATGCCCAGCTGCTGCAGTTCTCAGTCGGTCGTATTTACCGTCTGCTCCGCAAGGGCAACTACGCCGAGCGCGTTGGAAAAATGGCCCTTTTCAGGGCCAAAACATTATCAAGAAAGAGTTTAACGTACGTATGCGAGTATCTAACACCTCGGATATTTTCTGTTCTACTATATAAGCGTCCAACAAGGTCGCCCGTTCCATCATTGTCAACAACATCAGCCCAACAAAACGGCCCTTTTCAGGGCCACCAAACTTTCGCAAAAGAGTTATTAAGGAATATTCCTAAAATATAATATACACAATTAAGTACAACACATAACAGACGTTATCCAACGCCAACCCTGCGGTCGTATCTAGTATACAACCCTTCCAACTTTTTTGAACTCCATACAGAGTTG